CAGAATCATGAGCCTTCTCTCATGGAAGTTTGCAGACCTCTTCATGACATCATCATCACCTTCCAGCCCTACTAGCCATATTTCAGCCGTATTTTGTCTTTCATTACATGGAGAAAGGGCAGCAATTTCCTTTGACAGCACTTTCATTCACTGCAGAAGCCTGTAGGAATGCCACCATAGCATCTTGGGCTCTGTGATGGAACATCTAGAAAGGCAGAGAAAACAAGCCCTGGGGAAAATAAAAACCCTGTGAAGGATGCACTAAGCCTCCCACAAAGAAAATGGAATGAGATGCAATGGAATAACCAGGTTATCTGCCTCGTAAAGAAGCCCTTTTACTCAGCTTGCACAGCACTTTCTGTATCCAGGATCATCCTTATTAGTATGCAGGCCAGGGCAGCAGTTGGCATAATTCAGGCCACTATTCAAGTGCACCAGACCGTTGATTTAAAATCTAGTTTTTTAGCTAAAGGTGCATTTTGGATTTCTGCATCTCAGTCCATCTCTGCAATATGGAAGTTTTACAGGTCATTAGGGTGGGGAGAGAGCAGCATGATTTTGCTGCTGTTCCTGATTGCCTACAGCTGTTTCTGTAGGTGAACACATCTCATGTTTTAAGATGTGACACAAACTTCTAATGATAAAGCCATATGATGTCTCTTAATGACACCACATTTTATTGTTTGTTGGCTTAATTTTTGAAAGTTGCTTGTTCATCCTGAAAAACACAAGAGAGGCTTCCTAAAGCAGTCTCTGGACAACAAAAATCACCACTGAATCTTATCTCCTGCTCTTCTCTTTATTGCCGTACTCCCACTATTAAGAGATGCGTGGTTAACGCCTGGCTGATTACTTTCATTTCCTCCCATGAAACAAAAGCAGATGTGATTGCTTAGCTGGGAAATTACAAAGAACTTTGATCAAAACCTGACAAATCATCCCCAAAATGAAAGGAACATCTATAAAGCCATAGGAAATTAGATTACAGACATTTTTAAAATATGAAAGGAAGGTGTGAGGAATTATGTGGTCCTCTGAGAGCATCTGAAAGGCATGAATAGATAATATAACCTTATTAAGGCAGCAGTTCCCATGCACAATTACTGGGACGTAAACCCCTATTGAACTCAATGAAACTTACTTCTGAGTAAATTGAATTCCATTGGGAATTGGCTTTTCTGGCTTTAGCATGCAAGGAATAAAGCAAGTCACACATGCAAGGCTGGCCCTTGGGCCACAGAGTAGAATTAGCTCCCCTTCGCTGCTATCTTTTCTTCAGCATGAAAATATAAAATGCCATTTGTTGCAATATGCAACACGTATTATTATAATATGCACATCCCATACTTTTTTCCCTTTTGCAAAGGACGCAAGGTGGCAATCATGGTTCTTATAGTCCTCTGAGTTCCTCCCTCACAACAACCCAGTAAAATAGGTCAACCTGTGTCAGTGAGAGGTCCAAAGTCACTCAGTGAGCTTCATGACAAGTATGTCACACTGATTCTTGGATGGACACTTTACTGAAAAGGTATTTGATTAAGACAAGCTGGTCCTGCACCAAGCAAACTGTAGGATGAAGCCTAAATTTGTATTGCTGCATTGATTATGCTGCATTTGTGCAAGGGGTTCCAGATTCACAGTGAAAACCTGTATGTATCTACTCAGAAGTAATCTCTATTGAGGTTCATGGGGCTTTTCATAGGTAATTAAGCAACAGGTGCTGTTGCTGCAGTTTTGAACTAATGTCCATTCACTTCAGAATAAACACAGTGGCACTCACTTCCCAGTAAACATGAACTGTTAATATCATTCTTTTCTTTCTATGTTATCCAATAGCTTTCTAGGCAATTACCACAGCACATAAAGATTACACTGCATGGATCAGTGTTTATAAAGATGCACAAGTGGCCATTTCACAGTTCAAATTATGCTGGAGTTCTCCCACCCCCACCTTTAGGCATTTTTTTGGCATTTTCCAAGCAATGGTTTGTGCAAATGTTGGCACACTCCTTCAGTTGTTCACTTCTGGTGGTATGAGTGGTAGGTCCTGCTCGTACAACAGACTGAGAGGGAGTGAAGGGGCTACTCTAGACACCCAGTGTCTACTTCCCACATCCTCCTAGATCCTATTGGCTGAGGGTGTGCTTTCAGCAACAGGTGGAGAGAAGGGACGAATCGCAGCAGGAGTGTTTATTTACTGCTAAAAACAACTCTTTGATGACTGGATTAGCTAGGAACCAGCCAGAGTAAGAGATAAAACCAGTAAGAGATAAAATCAGATAGAGATGAGATCGGGGGAGGAAAGCCTCAACTGGATCAACCTGGAAGAGGCAGCAGAGGCACTTTGCCCATGGCGGCTGCTGGGATTCATAGTGAGAGTGGGAGGATGGAGCAGGCAACATGGACGCCATGTTTTCTTGGAAACTGTGGGGATGTCTGACCTGTGGCTTGGAGCAAAAAAATGTGAGCTGCAGTAACCACACTGCGCATGATGTACAAACCCAGTCATTGCCTGCACAGGCCCCACAGTTACTTTCCTATCTATTGAGCATTCTAATATACATCTCCAGTGAATAGTGGCAGACTTGCTCCACAGAAAAGCCACATACAGTAAATGCCAGATGTTTGAGAGCTGTAAGAGGTGCCCATGGGCTGCGGGTGGGGAGTGGCAAGCAGGCGCCTGCAGACAGTGGCAGCGAGTGGCGAGTGGCAAGCGGGTGCCCGCAGCGGCAAGCTGTGAGCTGCAAAATAAACTCAAAGAGCCACGTGTGGCTCCCTTGGTTTGGCCACCACTGGCCTACCCTGTTGGTTTATAAAAATAATGAAAATATGAAGTGGAACGATAAAAGGAGTAAAATACTCCTGATAATACTGGCTTGGTCACCATTAGGGAACGTCTACAGACATGGGTTAGGAGCGCTGCAGTCTCGCCCAAAGAACAAGACAGAAGGCACCTGCTGATTGGCAGTGGGGATGGTGCACCGGAGGGTCTCCTGACGTGAACCTCCGCAGGATGCAGCTTCAGGAGAAGTACCACTCCAGCTCACCGCAAGGACTGGAGCGTTCCTAAGGGGAGTGGCTTCCAAGTTGCTCAGAGCACTTGAACATGGCCTCGCTGCCTGCTTCTCTGAGCGTGGGTCCCCTCCCTCTCTGCCATTGGCCCGCCTTTTATTTTTTAACAGGGTGGGGCTGAGCAGTGTCGATGGCTTCTGGGAAGAGGCAGGTCTCTTCCACTTACAACAAGCTGTGAGTCACTTCATGACTCACCAGGCTGCTTTTTGGGAATCAGGCCAGCACAGGAGTGCCCACAAGAAGGACTTTCCATCCCTCCTCTGTTCCCATGGGTCCTGTCTCCCTCAGTGCAGGATCTGATTGATTCTTCTCAGTGCTGCTCTGTCTTAAGAGGGGCTGGCTGGGAAGCGGCATGTCGCAGGCTGGCTGCCGCCTCGATAGGCTGGCTGCTGTGGTCCTTCCTTTTACTAGTGAGTTGAGTGTAGGTGCCCCTTTGCCTATTAAGGGTTATTGGGGATCTCTCTCCAGGCTTTTGGGGTCCCAAACCTAGGCTCCATGCTCTGGCCTGGACTGTTCTGTAGTTCTGACCAACCAGACCAATATATATATAAATGTATATTTATATTGCTGATCAAATGCTATTAACACCCTTTCTTATCCCATCCCACAACTGTGGTGTTTGCTTTTCCTTCTCATCACAAGCCTATGGCTGGAAGAAGTGGGCCATGTCTTTCCAGATGACTTACATTTCATATAAGCTGAAGTGCCAGTACTGTCTTATTCATATGCTCTGTCCCTCCTTCGTAACCCTGGTTCCCAGATCAACAGGAAGGAACCTTTGGAGTAGCCCTGAAAAGGAAGTTTGCTTGGCTACCCCTTAACAAGCCCTGAGGAATACAAGATTTCTTTGCCTTAAGGAATCCTGAAGAAAGTCTTGCTCAGAAGAAGCCAGGTTGTTCATCCATCACTTATGTGAATCTCAAAGTCAGATTAGAGTTTTCCTTCTTACTCTAAGCTATTTGTTTAATAATATTCATTCCCTTGGCTGTTGAGGTGCTCTTTGTCAATATTCGCAAACAGATAATTTCAGGATGATTAAAAAAGAAATAAAATGTAAAAGTATGTGTTCATTCATTTGCTTTCCAACTTCAGGAGATTCAGATGAAAAGCTGAGAGCCACACTCTGGATTTAGTGTAGAATTTAAGATGCTAATTGATTGTCAATTGACTGATAAAATATAGCCAGTTAACTGGCTATTATTTACCTCTGGACGAACATTCCTAAAGTAAAAAGTTTGTAAGAATAGAAGAAGTGCGACTACAGCCATTTAAAGAGAGAGAGAGGGCGGTAGGGAGATATTTAACAGTATGCCATTGAAATAATGCACAAATAATAAGAAGAAATTAAAATAGAGAATAACAATCATAATGCCCTGTCTTATACAATTCAACAAATGTATTCCTGCAAGCACAATACAGTATATGGCACAGCATCTTCTGCATAATAAATAAAATAAAATAAAATAAAATAAAATGCTGCTTATAAATATCTGATTAGTTAGGAACAAAGCCAGAGTCGATAAATAGCCATATTTTTACCCATGGCACCCATTGCTGTCCACATGATAGCACATGGACTACGGAAATAGCCATATTCAGTTTCTGCAGCATGCCTTATATTCTCCAAATACAAAGCTGTATTTTCATCAGAACACAATGGAGAAATGCAAGGTGCTACACCTGAGTCAACAAACTATCAGAAAACTCTGAGTAGCAATATCAATTTAAAAAACACCCATATAAAACAAGATAAAATTCTTTGTCTCCACCCATCTTGCAGAACAAGTAGCTGGAAACACCCAGAGGCACTGACATTCTGCACATACAAAACGGTGCGCTGCCTGAGAAAGCAAATGAGTTCGGCAGCACACGCATCGCATCTGCAAAGCAAAATTGTAGTACTGTCGTGGATGTTTTTTTCCCGTGAGGCATGAATATTCAGAGAGACAAAGAGATGGATCTCCAGACTGTTGCTCACACGACAAGTAAGTCTACAGAGGTCACCTGCTGACATGCACACATGTCACACACACTCCTGCACACACATCCACGTACAACTCTCGTTGTTTGTGACATTCCAAAAGAGTAATTTGCATTAAGAGTGTTTTGCAGCTAGGGGAAGGTGTCAGCAGCTGGAGACCCTGTAATGTTACTCCTCGCGACGGCGGTGAGACACCTCCTTGGCAAGGAAGGGTCTCCTTGACAATTGCTTGCTTCGAGAAATTTGGAATCAGGATCTTTGATTCTTTAATTAAGGGAGACAATGCAGGAAGCACACATTGGCCTCTTGTTTTCAGAAAGGAGCTTTCTTGCTCACCAAGGATTTATCACACAAATGTTCTGCTACTTGATGCAATTCATTTGTTTTTTGAAAGAGCCAGACATCTCAAAGAAAAAAGGCATCTTAAAAACTTCTTCCTTCCTCTTTAGTTGGTGAAAAAAATGTAAAAATAATCATGAAGGATCAATATCAGATGAGTTTCTTTAGTAAATTACTGCAAAACCATATTTTACTGGGAATATGAAATGCTTTCTTGCTTGCAAGAACCCCATCCCTCCTACTTGTGTTTTTCAGTATTTAAGGGAATGCTTATTCAAGAAGTTATGGGCAGTTTTTGCTTGCTGCTGAGCTGGCTATAGCAGCATTTCAGTACTGAAATAAAAGAAATGGGAAGGTGCCTCCTCAAGGGCCTAATCCAGATATTACATTTTTGTGTGTATTCAGAAAAAGGCAGATATTTGAAGAAGTAACATGTGAATAGGCCCTATGATATGCTCCTAGATTCAGGGCAATATTATTCAGGGCAATATTATTAGGCAATAGAACTTGAAATCGTGGTGAGATCTGGGGTTGGTCTGGATGATCTCTTGGAGAATGCTTCCAATGATGTGGCAAGGAACAATTTAATGAAACTAGTGGTGCAGCTGGCAGAGCTCTAGCAACATAAGCTGGAATGTTTCCTTGCTACTGAGATAGGAAGGCAGCCTAGAGATGGACTCTTTCGGACGAAGACAAGGGCTTCTGGGGATGGCTTACCTTTCCCATTCCGAACGCATGTGCCAATTTCTTCTCTGTAGGATGTAGGCAAAAGTTTGAGTTCGTTGCAATGGCAGAACCTAGAGAACAGCAGACAGTTGAGCTGAATCTCTGGAGGCATTGTTAAGGCACACAGGCCCCCAAAGCAAATGGGAGCGCAGTACCATGTTGTAGATTCCCATTTCTGCACAACCTGTATATACAGTATCTGTAGACTGCATATTGCAAAGATACCACAAGCCTTCCATACTTCATTCCAAGGAAAACAAAACACCAGGTGATGCTCACACACCTGGAGTCCTGACTGATCTATGGACTGTGCTGTGAGAGTGTGACAGTGCTCTTCTGTGTTTGCCCAGGAAAACGGTAAGATCCGTCAGGGATGCTCCGATATGGGTACCAGCCATACATTGGAGTGGGTGCCTAAGGAACACTGAGTAGTATTCTTGGTGCTGAACGCATCTACAGTTGTGCAGTTCCATCCTAAAGTTGAACCCAAAATTTCTAATCTTCTGCCAGAGCTTTGTTTGTTTTTTATCCAAGCAAATATCTCATAGCCAGGGAGAGATAAGCACAGGAAACATTGGAATGTAACCATACTACTAGAGCAACTCAGTTCATGAAAGGTTTCCCCGCTGTACATTTGCAAATATATGTGGAGGGATTCTGTAGAATTTTGTCTTAAAGAGCACCATCCTAATTTATACTTTGTGGGCCGATGTGCAAATCCAGAGACAAGTATCTTTCTCATGATGTACTTCTGTGAATTTTGCGATGTGGGTGTCAACTCAAAAGTTGTGTATAAAAATCCAAAACTTAGGGAAAGATATATCAACATGTGTACATTAAGGACAGGAGCATAAAAAGGAATTGCATCTATTCCCTTTCAACTCCCTTTCATTTCGATGAGTCTCCTCTAAAGACAACACAGGATGGAACCCTAAGTGTACGTCAGGGATGGCCATGACAAAAAATAAAATAAAATGTGAATTTGTATGCATTTTAATTACAAATCACAGAATGATACTGAAATTGGACAGAACAAATCCAAAATTAAATACATCTGAAACTGATCTAAACCAAATATAGACTGATTTGTACATGCCTGTTTCTAAGACCAGCGTATCCAAGTGTGCTATAAATATGAAAAGGCAATGGGACAATGGAATATGAAAAGCAGTGCTGAATTCATGAAATGGCAGATAGTTAATTGCAGAATGACAAGAACAATTTCCTACTTCTCATTTCTCTCTATCCCCACTCTCATTCCCATTAGCAAGTTCTTGGCAAGTATTTAAAAGGAGCCTGTGCAGGAAAAGATTGTATCTTTGCAATTACTTCCTTGTCAGTCTGCATAAGTGAAAAAGTCACTTTACAATTCTTGGGCTTTCTTTTAATATATGAATGCACAAAAATGGATTCTGGGCAAAGTGAGAAAAGATTTGCATTTTCAATACAGTATATTTTAATAACAAATCCAAGTTACAATATATGCTATAAAATACACAAACTGCACTAGATAAACCTTGGGATTGACATATATAATGTAGGCTTCCATTAGTAGCAGGTTCAATTTTGCACATTTAGATAACGATGTGCAAATATCTTTGGAGGCACTTGCTTTTTTGCAGGTAAAATCAAGCAATTACACTGTAAATGTTGTTGTTGTTTTTGCCACAGAAAACACTTCAGCAAAAATCAAATTGAGCAACACAACATCTGTCTTGTCATGATTTAAGCTGTTTTTCACAATGAGGTCCTTTCTGGTGAATAAATTATAAGTATTCTAAAATTCACATTAGAGTTATCTCTTTATTAGGATTTCTCAAAAGGTCACAAAATAATGAGCAAAGTTTTAAGTTCTCTAGAATGCCTCAAGTAAATGCTTCATGTAAATTCTGGATGTTCAGTAAAACAGGCGGCGAGATAAAAACTGTGGTTAATAAAGCCAAAATCTGAACATCTGCATTTAGTCATAACATTAAAGGGGAGGGGAGGGGGAAGCTGAATATGCCTGAGAGCCAGTGCAATGGAATGCTGGGCTGGGGACCTGAGAGATCTGCATTCTTGTCCCCACGCGGCCATAAAGTTCTCTGGGTGGCTTTGGGCCAATCATGGATCCTCAGCCAGGAGGATAAAATGGGGGTGCATGAACCACCTTGGGTTCCTCTCAAAACTGAAAAAATGGCAGGCTATAAATGCCATGCAATATAATAATAATTGCTGTGGCCTCCTGGAAAAAGCTGTGCATCCTCCCTTAGGCTGCATCTCAACTGCTGGCATAACCCCAGATGTCAAGTCCCTGTTTGGAAATATAAATACATCCATCATCATCTCCATGTCTAAGGAAGCACAAGGATCCCTTGAATGGTAAAGAAGTAAAGAAAAGCAGTGAGTTCTTGTGTTTCCTTACCTAAAAGTTTGTTTTCCAGGGTGCTCATAGGAAAGGACTGGCCCTGCTTTCAGGAGCTAGTGAGGGAGGTATTGAGCGGGCTGGTGCTAGTCAGGGAAGATGAAGGCACAGGACTCCTTTTCCTTCCAGTACTGCATGCCTGGGTAGTCTTCTTACAGCAAAATTGATAGTTCACTTGCCAGGCCCTCTGGCAAGTCCAGGCAGATCAAGGGGTTGAATCCAGGCTGAGGTAGGGGACCTTATTTTGAGCTGCCCAGAGACTTAGTATACTGGGTAGTAGCTACTGGGTAGTAGCCAGTGCGATTGACCCAAGATAAGGCAGCCCTGGATCTCTGAACCCCTCTGCTTAGCAGTGCTAAAGCTGGTGCATGACATCCATTTGGCAGTAGAGAAAATCACAGAGGGACTACTACACAAATTCTACTGGCCCAGGTCAAAAAGTGTGGTCTTTCTTGCCCAGAATGCCAAAAAGCCCAGGAGAAAGGGGTCTCACCAGAACCCTCATGCCAATGCCCATGATGAGGAAGTCATTTGAACTGACAGGGATAGAACTGGTGGGCTCCCTGGAAAGGTCTGCAAGGGACACTTGTATATCCTAGTCCTAGTGTATTATGCTGCATGGTACCAGAGGGCATTCACTCGTCCCTAACCCCAACCCCAACTGCTAGGAACATAGCCCTGCTTGGACTCAAAGAGATTTTAACAGACCAGGCAGCAAATTTCATGATCCAGTTGTTGAAACAGATGTGGACAACCCTGAAAATTAAGGCTCTCCAAATATCAGTGCACCATCCACAGACCAAGGGTGTAGGCAAGCACTTTAATAAGACCCTCAAATAAATGATAAGGAGGTTGTTAGGGCAAGTCCTTCTATTGCTACCTTCAGGCAGCACAAATTATATGCACAGTTGCAAGGACCCTACGAGACGACCAGGCAAGTGGGGCCTGTAAAATATGAAATCCAGTTGACTGACAAGAAACAGTGTGATGTCTCTGCTTTCTAGTATGCTGCCTAGGTTTGCCATAGCTTTCCGTCCAAGGACCAAGTGTATTTTACTTTCTTGGCTGCAGTCCCCATCTGCAGTGATCCTGGAGCCCAGGAAAATAAAATCTGTCACTACCTCCATTTCTTCCCCATCTATTTGCCAGGAAGTGAGAGGACCGGATGCCATGTTCTTAGTTTCCTTGATTTCCTTCTCCAGTGGATCACGTTTTGTCAGAGCTTTCTGTTATGACCTGTCCATCTTGGGTGCCCCTGCACGGCATAGCTCATAGCTTCATTGCGCTACACAAGCCCCTTCACCATGCAAGGTGGTGATCCATGAAGGGGAAATAAAGGGCAGTCCTCTGCAAATCCTTCAAACAGACTACTCTGTGTTAAGAACATGTGACTGCCCTATTCTGCCTTCTCTCTCTCAAACACACACACACACACACACACCTGAGGACCCTGTTCCTTAAGTCTTACATTTCAGGTACAGGCTGATTCCTGTAGCCAACAGGAAGCTATGCTGGCCAACACTTCACAGGGGACCTGCCCTGAAGAAGGTGTGTATGGGGGAGCTGCTGCAGCACAGGAAGCACTCCAAAATGATTAGGCGTGGTGAGCAGGGCAGTTAATTTAACAGTATGGGAATGAAAAGTGATCTGGAACATTAGACAAAGCCATGGGCTGTATACAGTGATGTTGAAAAAGATTTGCTAGGTCTGGAAAACCACAAGGGCTACTGAAAAGGGAAAAGAAGGAAGTAAAGAGGCTTTAAAACGTATTAGTCTTGCATGGCAAGTTCCCTAAAGTAGGTTTGGTCTTAATGCTGCTCTTATCAACACTAAATCTCAGCTGTTGTTTCATATGGAAAGGAAATTATATAAGAAATCCAGCAGAATAGCAAGAGAAAGTTGAATTCTGCTATTCTTCAGCTCTTGCCAGATATGTGTGCATTTGTGGTGAGAAACAGCTTAGGGGGATTGCTGTACTGAGCATAAAAGAAATGCACTGAGCATAAAAGAAAAAGAGAGATCATGGAACAGGACGAGGGTAGGTGATGACTGGACTTTTTCACTCAAATGCCCTAAAGCTGTGCAAGAAAGGAGGGCTTTCTTTTTCAGGCAAGAATGCCAACACCTGCTGAGAGCTTTTGTCAGTCTCAAAACTGAGTTCAGGGCCAAGAGCAGTTTAATACAGGGAATCTTTGAGCTTTGGTTGAAAGCAGAACTAAAGGTGCCATGCTCTGCATGTTTAGACAGAAGAAAATCTACAGTTCTCAGAAATTCTAAACATGTAGAAGATTATGGCCTAAAATGGAGGACAATGAAAAATAATCCTGAAGTGGAAGGAGGGAGACTCTTCTTTCCTTCTCCACAACTATTCCATGTAGCTGCCAGTAATGATGGCTAGCATCCTTCCATCACTATATGGAACAACAGGATAAGGACCTGAGGCAAGGAGTGCAGAGAAGGAGACAAAAATTCTTTATTCTGCCCCCCTGGAAAGCCTCCTCCTTGGGCACTCTCCCGGTCCTATAAGCAGTGAAAATGATTATTCTGTTATCAGTGGGGCAGCATCCACTTTGGGCTACAGTCTGACCTTTTAAGGAGCTATCCCTGGTGTTGAACTTTGGGGAGGGGGCACCCCCAGGGTTCCCTCCCTGAAAGTGCAGAGTGGCACCCAGAATGGATACGTCATCCAGCAGACTTGGGAGCCATTAGACTCCATTGAACCAGCACACACGCCCAGAAGAAATTTGCTGGTGAAGCCTTTAGTTGCCAGTCCTGTTCCAGGGTAAGAAAGAAACCACCATACCACCAGCCCTTGACAGAAAGGTGAGGCTGCATGGGCTACAATTCTTCTGCTTCAGAGCTATGAACTCAGGCATTTCTCTCAGGGCGGGCAGAGATAAATCGCAACCTTTTGTGCCCACTTCCCCGTCTATTATTTCATTTGCAAGGGGACTCTCTCCTTGGGCAAAGCAGAGCCTGCTGCAGTGCCCTCTGCCATGTTCTGTACCAAAGGAATTGCAGCTCTGGCTTGGCAGGGCTGCTCTGAAGCAGCCCACTTCTCCTTTGTATCTTGACTTTCTAATGACTCTCCTGCTTGCTGCTTTCTTCAGATGAACAGGTCCACACTGAACCTCAGCAGTGGAGAAAAAAGCATCTTTCTAGCCTACAAGAAGAACATGGGGAAAGAGAAAAAGGTGCAACCATTGAGAGTTTTGCAACAAATTTTTCAAACATTTATGGATCAGGTAATGCTAATATAATATTTTAATATGCATACATTATATGCTTGTGCATAACTTCAACTTATACAGTTCGTGAATCCTCCTTCATGTGAGCTTCTCATTGGACATGACAGTGGAAATGCAGAAAGTGTAGGAGTGAATTGGTTTGCTAAGTGTCCTTGTTGTTGCTTTCTGGGAGCATATACTTGAAGCCATAAGCAGATTGCAGAAAACCTGAGAGGGAGGGAGGGAGGGAGGGAGGAAGGGAGACAGCCCTGGGCTCTTCCATGATAGATTTGCATTATCTGTATCCCCTTTTGTGGGTTCAGGATGGCTCATGTATGACTTAGGAAAACAGTTCATGGCTAATAGGTTCAGGGCCCCTATGCAAAAAACCAGAAACACCCAATAACCAGCATGTCCTGGTGATGTAGCACACATTAAAAACATACAGTGCAAATACTAACATGAAATAAGAGCACAAGCACAAGGCCCCTTTTGTGAAAAGAATGTGACAGTTTCCAGTGAAGCAGAAATGCGTAACTGGGTTTCGAAAGAGCTGGTCCTCATTCTCATTCCAAAGAGATGCTGACAAAGGGAGGTTGCTGGACCGTAACCAGGAAATTCCCTCAGTATTGTCACAGCCACAAGCTGCTCCACTTACATGTCTGTGGCACACCTGGAGAAGTGCTGAATTTTGCAAGGCAGGACAAAAATTTATTGGGTTTTGAAATCTGTAAAACAGGACACAATGAGTGGAAGATACTCAAGCAAACTAGTTTCACTGTTCAGCTGGAGATTTGAACATACAAGGGGAAGCTCCTGGCTGTGTGGCCGGCCTATGGAAATGCCTTTGCCACATGCCCCTTCCTTAAATTTGGTGCTCATTAATGGCAACTTCCTTGGGGTGTGATTCTCCTAGACCTGCTGCCGGCTCAGAATTGTGAGGAACTTACAGAACATTTCCTACATGAAGTGGTGGATATTTTCCTGAGTTATATTAAAAAGACCTACGATCGAAAGAGTAAAGTGTTGGATTTCCATCACCCTCATCAGCTTTTGGAAGGGCTGGAAGGCTTCAGCTTGGAACTTTCTGACCACCCAGAACCTCTGGAACAAATACTTGTGGATTGCAGGGATACATTGAAGTATGGAGTCAAGACAGGTAATGACCAGTTTATTGTCTTGAGGGAGCATTGTTTAAAGAGATGTCTTATCATTGCAGTGACTTCTTGATCACCTTTCCTGGTTTGGGACTTCTCAGGAAACAACTGGTTGGCCACTGTAAAAAACAGGATGTTGAACTGAGCATGCTTTCGGGCTGATCCAGTGAGTCTCCTAGTTCTTCCCCTGGAATGTGCAATGCTGGAAACCTCATTCCATTTGAGCTTGATGGAGTTTTTGACCTAACACCCAAAAGCTGGCCAAGTTGGGAGTGCAGTGGGAGTTCGATCTCTGTGGAAAGACTTGAATATTTGTGCAGATTTGGAGCTGTGCCTGTGTAGTGTAATTTGTGCAAATTTATAAATGGCGCAAGTCTAAATTGTGCTAACACTTCATATTTAAGCTGTTTTTGTTCTTGTTGCAGCATTTCCCATGAGACACGTCTTCCTCTCATTGCTTATGCATGCTCTCTGCATTGAACTTTATGATACTTAGTTTCAGGTTTATACCAAATGCAAGTGTGATTAATCCGTTGCCACATTTACATATAAATGAATTTCACAAATCGAGGTCCATTTATAAAACAGGAATCTGTGAGTTGGTTCAGTCTGAGCCCCAGACTGAGTTGGTGCCAGTGCAGAGTTGATGGATTAGAAGAGGGTTGGGATGAAACCTAGTGGAATCCATCCCTCCAAGCATTTGCAGACCTACTTCCATGCTCCACCCAGTCATAGAAAGTGAGCCAAGCCCAGAATGTCTTCGGATGCTCACAGAATGAAGGTTGTACAGCCAGCAACCTTCCTCCTCATCAGGTGCAGCAGCACAGAGGTGGTGCAGGTGGTATCACTGCTTGCACGGCATCTGAGCTATGATCCCTGGTGAGTGCCCCGTGAATGCCGGGTGTGCTTACCAGGGGCTCAGGGCTGCAACAAAGCAGATGGGAGTCCAGGAAGTCCCAAATGGATTCCACGCACACTCCCAGAATGGAATTCACTAGACTGAGTGGAAAATAATCTATAGATTTTCACTCCTGCATCAGATACTTGACACACCCTTATCTATAGCACAATATATTTATGTGGTTTTGATCTTTCTACCTTCAGGGTAGACATCTGGCTAATTCATACGCTAATCTTGTGGTAGAGCTGTACATACAACTCTCCTCATCTCTGCACATTACGTAATGTGTGATTACAGTTCTCTGCACATTCAGCTGCATATTAAGCACATTTTTCTCTGCCCAGTTTCATTAAATGGGGGGGGGGGGACCACACAGAACTGCAGAAGTGTTTTGGTCCCAAGAGCCAGATGTGACATGGGTTTGGGGCCCATTCAAACACCTTGGTAATCTGTATGACAATGTCTGGCAAGGGAGTGGAAACTGAAGAGTGCAAAAAATTCAGGGACTGTAGGAACTTCCAGATCTCTTTCAGAGCCTCTTTGGGAGAGCCAATGTGGTGTGGTGGAGAGAGTGTGGGCCTGGGGACCTGGGAGTCCCCATGTTCTAGTCCCCACTTGGCCATGGAGCCCACTGCATGGCTTTGCACTAGTCACAGACTCTTAACCCAATTTACCACACGTGGTTGTTGTTGTGAGGAAAAAAATGGGTGACTCCCAAGAGAAACAAAGGCAGAATAAAATGCAATCGACTACTAATGAATAGGAATTCACCACTGATGTATTAGAAGAGAAATGCAGAGAAAAACAAAGGAGGGTATGGGAGGAAGGAGGTAAGCTTGAGGCACCACCATGAAAAATGTAGTCCCCTTCATTTGAACTTACTGAATGAACCATTTGGTTCTACTCATGTTTGCAGCATGGTGAGGAGATGCATGCTTGGCTCCTCACAATGAGGTAGTAAGCCTGCACCTGGAAGGACCCTCTTGGACTGGAGGCAAGGGATCGCATGACGAATGCTCTCTTGCAGGCACTTTTCAGGCAGCAGCTCTGATCTTGGTTTAGAAAACACACACGGAGTAGGATAGCTGTACCTCACTCCTAAGGGTAGCTTTAATAATAACCATCCTGAAAGAGCAGGGCCTTGTTGCCCTGTAGAATAATTAAGTAGAAGACCTCTCCTTTGTCTTGTCCATTTCTGGTTTCCGTGGTATGCAGACTTCAGTGCGGACCGTTCACAGAACACAGCAGCATCCTTGTCCCGCAGCCGCTGCGCATCTCCCAGTACTTGCGTCACACAGACAAAATGCCATGCGTGCCATAAGGTACTATCTAATTACATAGCAGTCCTCCAAGACTTGGTATCTAGTTATGTAGCAGGCCTGCAAGACTGAATTTTTAGACATTGCTTCCTTTTCTCAATGCATTCTAAATGTCAGTGGACATCTTATACCTAGGCATGTTCAGGATTATATTTCAGATCACAGACAATCAGAACTTGCCTTTTTTGAAAGCCTGAATAGAAACGTGAGCACAGTATTGTCAGAGAAGGCATGTACATTTCTAAACTTGTGCTTTCGGTTGAAAAATGTGCACTTGACAAAATCATGAAAATGACAAAAAGGGCATTTGAAAAGGGCACATAGAAACATGCAGCTTCCCTGTTCGAAATGTACATGTTTCTCATCAGAATGAAAAACATGCGGTAAACAAAATGAGAAGCAATGTGAACTGATCTGCAACGTGATTCTCCCATCCCTGCTTGTATCTCTGCTTGGAAATCACACCAAAATGTAACATGTTTGTAACATTTCTTCCAAAGCAACCATTTTATTTTAATTTATTTATATTTTTAAGGACATCCTCGTTATTTCAACCAGCTTTCCAGTGGACTTGACATTATAGGGCTCGCTGGGGAATGGCTGACAGCAACGGCAAATACAAACATGTATGTACTGTAATCTTAGTTGTACGCAAGATTAATCTGAGTTCATGTAACAACAGAAAGCTGAAACTATCTTTGATAGCTCTTTAAGTGCAATTGTCTTATTGTGAAGCAGCAAACAGAGGCTAACCATTTCTGAAATACACCAGGAGGGCTGGTAAATTGGCCTCAGAGCCAGAACAAACAGAAAGGAAACAGGAGTCCGATTTCTGCTAAAATAAGGAAGGCGTCAGCTTATTTATTTTCTATTCTGCCCAATAGCTAAGGCTTTCCCAAAAGACATACCATGTTAACCAGGTGTTGTCTTTTTACAAAGCATATGTAAGATATGCCCTATCTGCTTTAAAACAAAAAGCAGCAACAGGAAATCTGTCTGTGATGTTGAGTATAGCACCGGAAAATGTTCACGCAACCCTTTCCTTCCAGTCAGTCTTCCATTGAAAATTTCTCCTATAGTAAATTTGTTTTTGCTCAATGACCAAACAGAATTTTCTAGGGCAAATAGTAGCATATGTCATGTAGGTGCTGGTGGGAAACACAATCCATTTAAAGTTAAACACTAGGAGAACTCTGCATATACTCCTATACACCCCAGGAGAATCAACAAAGTCCCATTGAGACTTAATAGTAATGGATATGCTTAATAATAACAATTTGCACTAGGTCATGCCAAATCATAATAATTTGGATTCTGCTTAATAATAATAATTTGCGCTAGGTCAAGTTATTATTTGCCTAATAGTACATAATAAGAAAGGTGGGCTATAGATGTGGTGTGCAAACATTGTGCAATTCTTTGTGCAGTCCTTTTTCCTTCTTGTGTGAAACTGAAACATTATGAAAGTTTAAATCCTTTGCAGCCTTACCCGTTTTAATCCTTCAATCCTTATCTTCATTTCAGGTAAAACAAATACAAAAGGTATTCTTTCATAGATTGGGCAAGTTTTGCTGTAAGTGAGCTTCAGAGCAGTGCCTCTTGTTAACAACATCAATAAGTCACTTTTTGTTGTTGAGAAATATCTTGACATTATGTGGCTCTTTCTTGAGTAACATCTATGACTTTATGCAGCACTCTCCATGTGACTGGTATCAGTGACATCATGAATACCCTTGAAAGTTAACATCTTAGCAAAATGGGCTTTGGTTTGTTAAAAGATTAGTTGGAAAGCATCTAGAGAATATCAGTCCATCAGATTCAATGTGAATGCTGTTGGTAATTCCAGTAATGGACAACAATTATGTTCAGGTTCCTGTGGAAAATGTCCACACATGCAGTCGTGTTCCTCTGCTGTCCTGAATATCCAGCAATGACTTTGAAACAAAGGTAGCTTTCTGACTACATTTGGACTGCAGGGCTACATCAAAGACACGATCTTCAGAAGCTTTCGAAAAGGCCTTTTTATGACTCAAAATTAAAGATATTGACTTCCACAATGGATTTTTTTTCTTGTGCAGAATCTTTGATTTTGAACAGTACCGATTAAAATATTCTTAAGCCTTCTTAAACCTCCTAGATGATCAGGCACCTAAAGGCTGCTCAGAATCTGTAGCATTGAACAAATCTGTCTGATCCAGTTTCTATAATGTTAACTTTTTCTTTCCTAACATGCATTATTTCATCTTGTTTCCATATCAGTTTCCAAGGGCACAGTCTTATGTCTTCCCCATGTTGTCTTGGAGTGGGGGCACAGGAATATTTCGAGGTGTCATGAGCTAGGTTTTCCCCTTCACCCTTCCAAAAAACCAGACTGTTCTTTGGCAGAAGGCTCTTTATTCTCAAATGCACTTCCAGTAAGCGCAACCAGGAAAGAATGAGTCTCTGGGCAAGCCCAGATCTGTTTGTTTAACACAATCTAGCAACTGCTTCCAAGAACCCTCCTTTTGAGTAAGTCTGTGTCCCATCACCCTGGTAAGGCTCCTTGGAAGCTGGCTAGCTTCTGCTCCATATGCCAACCGTCTAGTTGGCTAGTCCTTCTCTCCCAGTGCTGCACCGTGGGGTCAAGAGGCTTGCTAGCCTCATCTGGCTCCTGGAGCTGCTGTCCTACAGCTGCATGCCCCCTCCCAACAGTTGTCAATCCTGGCTGTTCCTCATGTCAGCTCGGAGAGGGTGCTCTCGGGATGAGCTACTCCACTTCTATCATCTCAGTGTCCAGAGTTGCAGCTGCCCTCCTCTGACAACATGCACCAAGAACAACTGCAAGAAAGGCGTATACCAGTTGCCTCCCTGAGGTCACTACTGGACCCACAGAGAATGAGAAGGGGTATACCAGGGGTGGGGAGAGAAGGAGGCTAGAAACACTTTATGCTGATTCCGATTGGTACACCGGCGTCCTTCACTTCTCCTCAGCGCTTAATCTAGACAGCCAAAAGCTGCTATCTAGGGAAAATGCATAGTACAAAAGACCACCACTGTGTCTTACTCCATCCAGCAATGGGGAGGGCATCGGATTGTGCTTCAATGTTTTTAAAATGTATTCATTTCATAGGCAGAAAAATGACATGGAATTTCATTTTATGTATATATTTATGTGGTACATTTATGTCTCACCTATTTTCCTTCCAAGGAACTCAGAGCAGCTTACAAAGTGCTCCTCCACTCAACTTTATCCACACAACAACAACCCCTTGAGGTAGTTTGGGATGAGGCACTGTCTGGCCCCAAGTTGCCCAGTTAGTGCTATGACTGAGTGGGGACTAGAACCCAGGTCTCCTGAGTCCCTATAGTTCTAACTACTACACTGGCTCTCCTTTATGTTCATTATCTGTGTCTTCATACATTGTTTTCCTAAAATATGCATTTCTTTAAGCAATTGCCCTAATATTTGTTGCTGTTATGTGCCATCAAGGTATCTCCAATTTATGGTGACCCCATGAATGTCCATAGCAGCACCACTCAGCATTTTTATGTTCAAAGCTTTGCTTTCAATATGGAGTCAGTCCATCTCATGCTGAGTCTTTCTTTTCCTCTTCTCCCTTCAACTTTCCATGGCATGATTGTCTTCTCCAGTGACTCTTGCCGTCTCACGATGTGTCTGAAGTGTGCGACAACCTCAGTGTTGTCATTTTTGCTTCTATTTCCTAAGATATGCATTTCTATAACAAATTTCTCCTACCAAAGGTATTTTGTACGCATGTTTCTATCAGCGAAGTACAAAAACCAAAGGATAATTGTACCCCAACATTAGTTTTGAAAGAGTAAATTAATGTACTTTGTATCCAAATGCAACCGATTTTATCTCCCATTCTATTCAAATCTGCAATCTAAAATTGTATCCTTTTGGAAAACTTCATGCAACATAAACCAGGATGCTTCTGTTAGACTTCTGTTAGACAGAGTTCTAACAGAACACTTTGTTCTGTTTTATACTTCGTACACAGTTGTCCAAGGGAAGGAACTTCCCTCCTCTTCATCCCTCTTCCCTTTTAGCACAAAGTTTCTGTAGATGTAGAGGAAGTTGCAAAAGACTGCCAATGGAATGGGGCAAGATGAAGTCAGTGAATAAAAGAACGTACTATCAAATTACGTACTGACCAAGGCAAATATCCGTATTCTTCCTCAAAGGAACTACAAAATATCTAGTTACCAACAGAATAGACCCTGGCAACAGACCTATTATTCCATTCAACTCATGGAGCAGAATAAGGTGGAAATGAAGTGATAAAGTCCTGAGAGGGTAGAGGAATGTGACTGTAGGCGTGAATATCACCTTCTTCACATCACCCTACATTTATTTCTTCATTTGGAGATTTATATCCTGCTTTCCTAATACTGTGCATGACTCGGAGAAGCTCACAAGCAATTTAAAACTGTAACATAATCTAAAAGTCATGCATTCAATAAGAGAGGGAATAAAAAATATGGAAACAATAAAGATGCAGAGGTGGAAACTACAGGGGAGAAAACCCCACTGTCCTGCAAATATAAAACTCTCATAGCATGAAGCAGAAACTTTTGTGCCATTTTGCATACCAGCATGCAAAACACGCAGGGCTGAGTCCAGAGGTGTGATTCTGCTAGCACAAAATTTCTTCTAGTTGTGGAAACCCTGTTTTTGTGTTTGCAAAAAAGTCAGGTGCAATATACTGATAGACTTGCTTGCGCAAGCTATTCTACAATGGATAAACTTTGCTTTGCTGTGCTGGCTGCTACTCTCATAGTTATGAAAACTAAAGTGTTTGTAATGCTGAACACGGATCACATAATCATAGTAAATTGGTTGTAGTACAGCCTGAGTAGCTTTCCTGTAAAACTCAGATGAACTTACTCACTGCAGTCCAGTGACGGGTCACTGAGGTGGCTACAACTAAGATATAAATGCTTGCAGAGTAGTCAACTGCCTGCATTTATTTATCAAGACATTCATTTTTCATTAATTTCCTCCTTTCCTCCTTCTCCCCTTCTCCACTTTTCTATTTCACAATCTTTAAAGAGGCTCTCAGTAATACCTATAACATTATAATAAAACTGCATAGTTGGGGACAAAAAGAGAGAGAACTTCTAAACAGAGCAAAATAAAGGACCAATGTCAATAAAATGATCAAGTCACAGCCATTAAACTTGCAAATGATTGCAGCAAGATGGCAGGTACTTTTGCTAGTGGTGTGGTGGTGAGATTGCGAGACAAGCACTCAGGAGATCTAGGTTCTAGCTCCCACTCGGCCATGGAACTCACTGGATGACTCTGGGTCCACCACTCCCTCTTAGCCTAACCTACCTCACAGAATTGTTGCTGTGCAGATAAATGGAGTTTTTGAAAATATATTCCTTGCAAGAGGAAAAAAGGTGGGGTATAATAGCAATGTAACAATGACTGCAAACAACAAACAGCAAAAGAGAATCGCCTAGGCACCAAAATGTAAGTGACATTATGCTCATGAATGTATTCCACAGACAGGGTGCCACCACTAAGAACTTCTTCCTGGACTCCACTGACCCTAAGCCTGGGAAGCAGGTCCCCCTGAAGAAGGGCCAGGTGCATGTACACCTCTGAGTAGTGCAATTAAATAATCAAAACGAATCACTGGGAATTATATAGTTCCCTTGGGAGGCCGAGATTAAAAGAACCTTGGAAGTTATTTCATATGCCTAGAAGGCCTTTGAATTCATGTTTCTCAAACAGCACCCCATGATTCTTAGTGAACTGCTTTTGAAGTTCAGGTGAACTTCAAAGCCAAAGCATGAAACAAGCAGTCCGACATATGGCAACTGTTCAACGGGACCAGTATTAATTGCTGCTAGAACGGCCCTTTCCTTACTTCCTGATTAGAAATGGATCTCTGCCTGCCTTCTGTGACTGTTCAGCTCTCTGCTAATGACACAGATATGGCACAGTTAGTTGTGTTCTTGGCAAGATAGACACTCCATGCTGGACCTGTGCAGTGATCTATAATTCTCTTTGCACTTGCAGATTAAAACACTGAATGCAACTGCACTTAGTTCACACTGCTACTCCCTGAACTTGAATTTTGGCTACGACTGTGTAGCATGACTGTAAGAGGATAACAGGACAAAAGCACATGGACAGGATGCAGCATGAGCAAAAGGGAATTTTGATCAAAGGCCAAGGAAGACTCAATTGCATTCCCTCTGGACTTGAGTCCTATTATGTGTTAGTGTAAGCAGATCTTTTTTCACCTGTCAGTTGGTAAACACTCATATCACTTTGTTGGACAAAGTCATCTACGCTAACCTGGAAGGCAAAAGAACAATGCCTTTGTTTCCTTCCACCTGATAGTTAACTCTGCAATTTAAAAGAGGGCATTTGCTTGCACTCCTAAATGTTGATAGTAGCAGAACTTCCTCTTCGAGGTATTTGTTTTTTTAACTCACTTGAAACTCTCAGAGTTTTACAGATTATATGGAGAGAAAATCTTTACGGATTTAGGAGGGTGTATGCTTGTTTCTGTCTATCTAATCCCTTGTCACTTCCTCAGTTCATCACACTTGCAATGTATGAACTCATAGTAACATCGTCATCACCATCACCCCACCTTCTTTCCCAAAAACCATTACATAGCTCAACTGTATCCTCACAACGACCACCCTGTGAGGTGTGTCAGGCTGAGAGCGAGTGAGCACCCAAAATAACCCAATGAGCTTCATGGCTGAGTGGGGACTAGAACCTGGATCTCCCAACACTCCAACTGCCATACCGCACTGGCTGTCACCGTTCTCTTGCAGTTTTACTGTTGTGTCTATGTCCTAAGTCATCCTATTTGGATACACCACTACCTTTGCAAGGGAGCGCCTAAAGCATTGGGCATGAATATAAGAAATGCAGATCCAAATTCTGCTCAGCCATGAAGTGGGAGTTAAAGCTTTGGGAAAACCAGCCAAACCTACCACGTAAGTTTATTATTGTGTGGGTAAAATAAAACTCTGAGCTCTTCGAACTATAAATATAATGAATGATGGATGAAATACAAATAAAATAAGTGTGCAATCCCATGTAGGTAAGAACTTCCCACAGAGTTCAGTGAAGCTTATTTGGCAGTCATAGATTCATAGAATAGTAGGGTTGGAAGGGGCCGAGTATGTCATTAGCTCCAACCCCCAGATGGTGCAGGTTGTCAAGTTATACCACCCCACCCAGAGAACTGCCCAGTTTGTGCCTTGAATGTCTCTAGTGTGGGAGACCTCTCTTGCCAACCAGTTTCACTGTTGTATTACTCTGACAGCCAGGAAGTTTTTCCTGGTGTTTAGCCTGAATCTGGTGTGCTGCGATTTAAGTCTTCTGTTCTGTGTCCTACACTCAGCGATGAGTGGGGTCCTTTCCTTCCCGTCTGTGACAGCCTTTAAAGTACTTGTAGGGTACTATCATAGCTCCCCTCAGTCTTCTCTTCTCAAAGCTGAACATGCCCGGTTCCCTCAGTCTTTCCTCTAAGGGCTTTGCCTCCAGTCCCCGAATCATCCTTGTTGCTGTCCACTGAATCCTTTCTTGTTTTTCTGCATCTTTTTTAAACCTGGTGCCCAGAATGGAATGCAGTGGGGTGTGCTTTTCATAATGCAGCTGAAATGAATGAACCACAGATGACGCTCATGCGGATGCTGTCATTGTAACGCACTGTAAGTGGGGCTACCCTTGAAAATTATTTGGACAGTTTGTTTGGTACAAGTAACCAAACTGTGGAGTAGGACAATTTCTGGAACATGTGGATCATAGCACTAATATCAAAGGATTTCCCCTTTCCTTGTGCATCGCCAAGTAGTTTTTTCAGAAGAATATTTTCTGTTAAACTAATTTTTTAAAAACCCCTTGAAAAGGTTTATACAGGTTGTCAGAAATTCATATTTTTCTTTGACTATGAGTTGGTGACTTAGAGCTGGTGACCTAATCACCTGTTCATATGAATAGGATGAGTTAAACATGATTTATTAAAGTTTTTTTTTCTTCGATAAGGATAACTGAGTGTGGATCCAGTTACATGTGCAGAAGGAATTCATATTTGCTTTATTGAGATTTATTCTTTGATGGCTAAGCAATAAATTCAAAATTAGTGAATGAGTATTGTTAAAATCCACCCACCCAAAGCCATGGTATTCCCCAGATGTTTTCTACTGCCAATCCTGTGATTCCCAGCCAGTATGACCACATGTGCAGGCTGAAGGAGGTGTCTCCTTGCCAGGGCACAACTCCTCTCCAGTTACTGTGTTTTACAGAAAACCCACTGGAATCTCATACTGAATTAACAGCCATGTTCTGGGTAGGAGAGGAAGCACCCCCAGTCCAGCCTGCAAGTGGCCAGAAACATTGGAGCATTTGGGAAAGAACTCCGAGGCTCCACTGCACAGAATGTGTGGCTGAAACCCCAACTTTGGCAGGGTTGGGTTACCACATTTTGAAGTAAGCAATGTAATACACACCAGCATCAAATCAGGGAGGGACTGTAAGGTCATTAAGCCCAGGTTCTCAAATTTCCGAAGTGTACTTCTCTTCTCAGCACTCATACATACAGTCACTTCTATCATCTCAATGATATACTTTTTTTCTGAATTGATAAATATCTGTTGCGTGAGTTCGCATGATCCGACTGCTGTCTGTTACAATAGAATAGAATAGTCTTGCAAGACAAATCATTCTTTCAGTAAGATTTGAAATCTATGTGGGAAATCTCTTTTTCTTGACTGAAATTAAACTTTGTAGCAATGTTTCTTCATTTATTTTTCTTTTCCCTGCAGTTCATCTGAATACAGTTTTGAGCCTTTTATTTTTCTAATTGTGATGTGTCACTTGCTTTAAAACATTTTCTAGGTTTACTTATGAAATATCTCCAGTCTTCATTGTAATGGAAGAAATCCTGCTTAAGAAAATGCATGAAATCATTGGATGGGCAGAAACTGAAGCAGATGGTATATTTTCTCCTGGTATGTAGATTAAAAAATATTGCACCTTTTAAAATCCAGGAACTAACATGCATCATGTGGTGACATTTTAAATCTGGACAGTAATGTGAGCATGATCTGTGTACAGATAGAAAATATACTCCTGTGTACTCCATGAAATGTACCTTTGAAGCTGAGAACAGAAAATGTTTGATCAAAAAGAAAGTATTTTTGCATCCCACCATGTTTTCAGGACTTTCATGGGAGGAAAGTTTCTTATGTTTCCTCTAGCTGCCCTCAGAGTTCAGTCCCATATTATTCAGGAAAGATAATCATTGCAGCATCCAAACCATTACAATGTCTTTACTTCATCTCTGGGTCTGGTCTAGAAATACTGTACTTGTCTTCTGTGTTTTTTATATTGAGAAGTACATCTGATACCCTGCCGGCAGTCCCAAGTGTTACAGATCATCAGTATACACATGATGTGAGCATTGCTGACCTTGCATTTTTGCTCCTACTCATGGCTTTCACTGATGCAAAAGGCTCCAGGGCACCCAAAATACTTTCAGAGATCACCCTCAGCCTTTTCAGAGATCACCCTATTCCCTACTTTGAAATGCTTCTGTGCCATTTGCAATGCTGCCACAACAATTTACCCCCAGGTGGTACCCACTTCCATATCAGTGGTGCTTGAAACTACATTCCTGGGCTAGTGCAATGATTTAACACCAGAGTACTCACCAGGTCACAGCATTATGTGACCTGATTATTATTACCAAGTCCAGCACTGAAAGTTGATGGGCATATCATTTCTGCTTTGTGGAGCCAAGCTCCTCTCAGAATATGGCGGATATGACATAGCAAGCTTTTCATCTGTGGTGTTTACTAGGCAGGCTAATTAATTTTCTGTGTGTCACTGAAGGGCAAGGATAGGGTGGGGATAGAGAAAACTGCCTGAAGTGGGGACCTTTCTGGGTGGAATATACCACTGCATGCAAGTAAAGTATTTTCCAGTGGCCGACTCCAACCTGGGCACTGGGTCTGATGTGGTAGGTTGGACTATTTTGTTCCCAATAAGACTAGATGATTCAAGCAGGCATAATTTACCTTTTTGTCTTCCAGGAGGCAGCATTTCAAACCTCTACAGTGTTTTAGTTGCCCGCTATAAACGCTTCCCTGAAATTAAAACAAAGGGCATGGCAGCCCTTCCAAACATTGCACTGTTTGTGTCTGAACATGTGAGTATGCGTACACAACAAAGCTTACACAAAGCTGTTGATCATGTAAAGGTGTGTTATTACCCAGGCTGGCCTTTCTGTCTGCTGTCCCTAGTCTTAGCACTCATTACCTTACTGTTGTGAGACTTTGTTCCAATCTGGGGGGGTAGGGGGTGGTCTATGGCACCTAACACTGATTCTGAGTCAGACGCGGTAACTGTAGAGCCAGATCCAGCTGTGAGATGCCAGGTGCCTGAAAAGCGGGGTCTTAAGTACCATATAAGTATACTCTGCTATATAGAACAGGGAAGTCTGACCTTTTGGCTTCTCTGGGCCACATTGGAAGAAGAATTGTCTTGGGCTGCACATTAAATATGGAAACACTAATGGTAACTGATGAGCAAAAAAGGTCTGTGCATAATTTTCATGAAATCCGCCAGCACACATAAGCAAAGCAGTCCTCACATAATAATCCTAAGAGAGCACGTGTATGTTTATGTGACATTGTGATACAACGATCGTCTACACAGTTCACACTCAAGAACCACACAAACCAGTTACAAAAAAAACACCAAAAATCTCATAATGTTTTAATTATGTTTACAATTTTGTATCGGGCCACATTTATAGCCATCCTGGGCCACATGTGGCCCACAGGCCATGGGTTGGACACCCCTGCTATAGACCAAAACAAGATTTGACATTACATGTAATGGAGGTGTTATTTGAACATCCTTCACTAGCAGCCACAGAATTCTCTGGCAAGTAGAATTACCACCCTTGGCTTTCAATCTAACCTTCAATATAACTATTTAAAAGAGCAATTCTATACATGTCCACACATAACAACATAGCAACAGGTTTTATTGTTATGTGTTTTGTTGCAAGCTGCTCTGAGAACTTTGATAGCTGTGAATGGTATACAAAAGCAGTAAATAAATAAATATATAAACAAATGCTTAGATGTTAGTCCTGAGTAACTGAGCTAAATGAAGATTACATACAGATGCCTGCAAGCTTCTTCTTCCCCTTTCCATGAAAGTATCTGTATCAATGACTGCTTACATTAGCTGTCTAATGAAATGCTCCTTATGCTATTTTACTTTAGCTTAGCTCCCAACTATATCCATGATACACTAAGAAATATTATCTATGAATTCCATTCATATGCTGTTACATGTATTTTTAACTTCTATTTTTAACTTGATTTGGCAATAAAACAAAATTCCCTGAGGGGGAAAACAGGACATACTCCTATGTAAATGGGTATAGGATTGCAACTTAATTGGCATTTAAATTGAATTGCACTCCCATTATGTCAACTGAACCGAAATAGCTTAAAAGCCAGTGCCATCTTTTCTACATTTCTTTAAGACATAAGTAATCATGAAGCAATATTGTGGACTCTAATGTGTGTTGTGTGAGCTTTCCTCTCTTTAACCTTTTCATCCTTAAATATCTAAGAGCCATTATTCTATAAAGAAAGCTGCAGCAGTTCTGGGGATCGGGACAGATAATGTTATTGCTGTCAAGTGTGATGAAAGGTAAGATTCTCGATGGCTTCCAGTCCATGTTTTTATGTGTATCTGCCTTTGTGCAATTACTGGTATGGATTTGTTGAGAACAGAAACCTTTCCGTTCAGACCATTTCACCTTCCTATTTTTGGAACACATGCCCGTGAAAACAAATGCACCATTTATGCCATTAAGTTTGAAATCATTTTGAGTCTTGTCAGCATGTTATCATTCATTTGATTGCATGAAACATGATTCAAATTCCAAATGAAATTAAATGGATGGACATCAATATAAACAACTGCCTTTGTCGTGCAACAGCTTGTGCATCCAGTAGCCATTTTTTTCAGAGATTTGACCATGACTTCTCAAACTTGCTGTCTCTTTGAAGCATTCCACTAAAACTGGTCCTCAAACTTTTTCAACAAGGGGCCAGTTGAAAGGTGGCGGCAGCGGGTGTGGGCCAGTGAGGCGGCGGTGGGCATGCAGGGTGAGGCAGTGGCTTGCTTACTCAGTGATCTGCAAGCAAGTCCAAAATGATCTCTGAGTGAGCAAGCCACTGCTCGCCACTGGCAGTGGCACGGTGGGCGCACATGCGACGAGGTGGTGCTTCCTTGCTCGGAGATCGTTTTGTCCGAGTGAGTCCAAAATGATCTCTGAGTGGTGGGCGTGGGGAGTCCAAAACCTCTGAGGTGGGCTGAATAAATGGGCATGGCAGTCTGGATCCAGCCCACAGGCCGTAGTTTGAGGACCCATGCACTAAAACTTAAAGATATGAGTGAGGGAAGGGTTACTTTTTCAAGGAGATTTTTCTGGCTTCTATTTTCTTTTCCCAGAATGCTCAAGGTTTTGTGTCATTCCAGGGCTTTCTGAGAAGATAAAATACTGGCTAGTACCCAAAAAGTTAGCAGCTAGAAGTAGTAAAGGCAAAAGCAGAAGAAAATGAAAGTATCATGAAATGAATAACCAAATGCATTAGAAACTCAGTAAGCAAAACAAACAGATGTACAATTAGAAGAAAAATCTTTGACACACTGAATGTAACTCCAGGTATTCTATTTGTCTGCAAAGCAGTGCAGAGAGATTACTTTTGCTCCAAGGGAGGAAGGAAAAGGGACTCCGCTGAAGCTTTATGCACCAACCTTCTGAGTGGGGGCGTGGGGCAAGCTCATTGGCTTTGCAACCTGTACAGCATCCTCACTGTGCATCCCCACAACCCTCCATGAGGCCTCCTTGTTCAGGCAAATGCAGTGTGAATTAGAACCCAGCGCAAGTTCTAATCTGGGCAGGGAGCCTGGTCACATGGAGAAAGGCCCCCACTGCAGAAGCTGCCCTCCAACACATGGGGTCTGCAGCCTGGCATTAGTGAGGATACATTGGAGATGGTGAAGCTCCTGAACTCAGTCCTTCTCTTCCCCTCATGCCCATCTGATTATGTGGTGTTTGTGTATGTGTGCATTGGGAAGGGGACATCTGGACAGGGACAGAGTCTTACAGGGATGCTTTCTAGCATGCAAAACAGTGAACAGTTTTGCTTGAAAGAAGGAATGAAACCTACCCTTCATTTTTCCATGTTGCATCATTAATAACTTTTGGCAAAGGCAATTTCTATTTTTCTTAACAGGGGGAAGATGATTCCATCGGAACTGGAGGGAAGCATCCTCAAAGTCAAAAGTCAGGTTTGTTTCCCTCCCTGCCCTCCCCTTATTCTACCCATGCATGCACCTGTTACCTTCAGGACAGCTCCTTGAGTTTGATGAAGTACACTCTTGCCTACAAAAGCTCATGCTCCAATCAATTTGTGGGAGAGAAATGAACTATAGCCATTTTCAGAGAAATGTCTATAGCTTGTAGTAGTGAGACAACTTAGCTCTTACTTATAGTAAGTGCAATTCATCGGTGAGAAAGATTGGCCATTCCAGGAATATACTGTTCTTCACATGGGACAAAGGTTTCCTCTTGAGCGTTCTAGCCTAGATTTTTAGAAAGTTATGGTAGTTAATATATTTGTAACTTACAATAAGTCAACTTAGTGTTAGAGGTTTTTGGTAATACATTAGCTTCAGTCCAGCAAGTCTCTTCATGAGTGGAAAAAAGCTGAACATCAAATATATCTTCCTGCCTCAAGGTCACCTTACCTAATTCTGTCTCCTTACAGCTTGTGATGCAGGCCTGCATGTGCCTGGTACCTGCTTCTAAATATGTATATGTGTACAAATTCAATCTCTCTCTTTATTCATCCCCCTTTTATCTTCATATTGCACATGAACTCTGTGAGGCAGGTTAGGCCCGATGCCAGCAAGGGAACGTTGTGTTTGAACAAAAATAAGAAATGAGATTTCTCCTGATTGTCCATCTAGTGTGGTATTTCTGCATTTCTGCTTCTGCTCAGTCTTCTTTGATCAGCTCTCAGAGCACAAAGGCTCCCATTCACTTCCTTGGAGGAGCCAATACAGTCATAAACTGTTGAAGATCTCCATTTAGGTGGACTGATTGAAGATCTTGCACCGCAAACCTACTGAATCCAAGTTTACTAGTCCTGCGATCACGATCATATTTTTGTAAGCAAGAGTAACTTCCTTGGCATACGGCTGAACTAGCCACTCCATGTGACAAAAATGCCTTCAGGGGAAAACAATCAAAGGATGTATTCATGGCTTAGTGCTGGATTCTTGCACTTACCTTAGATATGAGGTGGCTGATGGGTGGGGGAGACCTGCCTTTCACCGCACAATCTTTTCTGTACCCCCACCTCGCTTGTCCACACTGCAATTAAAGTCCAGGAAAAGATGTCATGGGGTAACACCTCCCATGGGGCTTTTTGAGATCAGAAAATGTGGACATCTGAGAAGGCTGCAGTGCCTGGAAAGATGTGTAAAAAATAACAGTGCACCCTGAGCCATCACACGAAACCACCGCAATAGAGCTGCGAGTGCATGTACGGTCCCTTTGACATCAGGTTAAGAGCTTTGCCAGCACATTTTAAGTGGGTCAGCCAGTTGTACTGTATTTTTACCACCTATTTAAAATGTCCTCTGCTTATATTTTCTTGTTTTTCTTGCATTTTGTGGTTGTATGACCACTTGATCATTCATCATGCTTTACATGATGATGGCAGTTTATGAATATTTTAATCAAACAAAAGAAAAGAATGCCAAAAATATTCTAGCCCCCACGAACCCAAAAAATGAGGCAGAAAAATGCAACTACTTCTGCAAAGGAAAAGGTCTCTCAGGAAATTGGAGAACAGCTTTTTGGCAGAGCACTAAATGACAGTGACATAATATTCATAAATAAAAGAGTTATATCTCAAATGTTGAGGAGCCTAGATCTTTTCAGGCTCGTGAGCGTATGTGGCATTTTCTTCTGGGCTTGCAGGCACATCTGACTATGGCGAGCCCAGTGCACATTTTGCCCCTTTCCTCCTGCCCCTTTCCTCCATTCCATCAATTCCCACTCTCCCTGGAGAGTGCGTTATTCGGTATTCCTCCCACACACCCACCACCCACCCACCCTTGTCTCTTCCCTGGCCCTTGCTTTGGATTCCCCCATCTGCTTCCTCCCAACCGTCGCAGCATCCACAAAGCCAGACCAAAGAAGCAGGAAAGCAACAGATCAGTCCCAATCTGCTGTTCTGCTTCCCATTTCTTTGTTAGGGCTTTGATGGTACCAAGGTGAAGTAGGCAGGAAGGGATGTACAAAATGCACCCTATTGGGATGGAGTCAGTGTAGGTGTCACATGGTGTTTTGGCAGGTGCCAACACATCTGCAGCAACTGTGTTGCTAACTATGGCCCTTGATGTGCACCAAAACATCAAAATCAATGGACCTGGTCTATAGCCTTGGAATGTATAGAAGCAAGTGGAAGGTAAAAAGGATGCTTCCCCACTGATGCTCCAATTCAGTTTGACAAAATATAATTACAATGTCTTGTCTACATCCTTTCCTTATTCTGATAACATCCATTGAAAAGTGGGTGCTTTGCAAAGCCCTTGGTGGCTACATCCCATAATTATGCCTGTTGATTATGCAGAGTGGATTTTCTCAGTATGATCATATAGTAAAAGAAGAGGCAGTTTTTCCTGTGCACTAATACAGTGTCCTTTTTCAGGGGAAGGTACCGTTCTATGTTAGTGCCACAGCTGGGACAACGGTGTATGGAGCCTTTGATCCTCTTCCCAGCATTGCTGACATTTGTGAGAAGTACAATCTCTGGATGCATGTAGATGTAAGATCTCCATTATTTTGTATCGTGTATGCAATTTCCTGCTACTCAAATGAAGTTTAAAAGTTCACTTTGTTATTCACAAAGAAACACAGTGAGGTATTTTTAGGATGACCAAGAAAACAATGTATGAGTTCGTGGCTTTTCAAATCAACTTGTTACATGTATGATGTACGGAGGGCTACTGAGGGTGCATCTACTTCAAGGTGAAGAAAAGTTATACATCTGCCTTTCCTAATGTTCGTCACTTATTGCAAGCATAGCTTTAAAATACAGTCTCTGTCATATCAGAATGACCCCCTAAATCATGGTAAGTCTAATGGGATAATGGAAAGATTATTCTTTCGAGTCAGTAGTTTTCCTCTTCTGACTAACTGCTTATTCAAGACACAGTGCAACACTGTTTTTGAAACAATGCTTTATATTTAGTATGATTTCAAAAATAGACATGGTTTTTATGCCATAAATTAGGCCTTCTGTGGGAAGGAAGGTCTCTGGCTGACTGTTTGCTTTGTTTTCCCAAACCAGACAAGTGCAGGTACCTTTACTTGCTCAGGGATCCAGGTTTTCCTAACCCTAACCTGACCTGTGACCGCAACCCTAGCACTCTTGTATAATTCCTCTATAGTTAGGCAATATGCAGAATGGCAGCACCCAGGAGGTTCTTGGTACCTGGCACTTCTCTCACTTTTTTGAACCATCTAACATGACTCCAGACCTCTTAATAAGTACAAGGAGACAGGTTTCACTATCCATGATCCTATCTTAAACTTAACCCCCACCTTAACGCCCAGGCAGCTCCTGATACATTAGGACATCAGGCAGAAAACCACTATCAGGGTTGTGTTTGTTTGTTCTTTTTTCTGTTTTGTTGACCGCTCAGTTCATTTGACCAGTCTAGACTATTCCCAGGTCCTTGGACACACACAGTGACATAGGTTTTCCTAACCCAAACTCTAACCTGAAGTTGAATTCAACCTAAAACCCACTCAGATCAGCTGCCATCAAGTCTAAACACAACATAAGTCTTTGATGAAAAACCCATTGCAGAATTTTCAATAAGTCAAAAGAACCCTGTAATTATGGAGAATTCAAAATGCCTAACAATTCTCCCTTTAACTAGGGAATCTAATCAGTCAAGGAGGCCTGCGATTCTTCATGTCCAGAGAAAAATACTGTTAGGGCACAATCCAATGAGGCTGCTCATAACCCTCCAAACTTCGAAGATTACATGCCTCCTATGCATGGCCAAGCAGCATGGATACAAAGATCACCTCTGCATTTCTGCCATGCCAAATACTTAGCTGGCCGATCTAAGTGTGGTACCCTGGAGGTTGAGGAGAGGAGAGAGAAGTGCAGCCAGGATACAGCATACTCTGACTGGACTCCTCCCCCGGTCCCAAAGCTCCATCTCCAAGATGGCGCTTCCAGCTTTGCAGCCACAGCCTGGCCAGTTCTTTCACATTGGCTGTGAGGCTGGGGACAGGTGTTTGGAGTCCCAGCTTCAGTCTTGGAGCAGGTTTCTGAGTCCAGGACCGGGGCCCTGGATAATCCTGTGGCCATCGATATTGCTCAGTGACTGAAGGATAATCCTGTTAAGAACTCCAGGCAAAAACAAAGGAATGGAAGGAATTATTCCTCCACCAAGCACTCTGGCCCCGTGGGAAATTGTTACTCTAGCACATAAAGCTTCCTGCAATATGTATATGCCTAGGTAGGCAAATATGTAATTTTAAGCATCATTTTAACAGCCAAAGTCATTTTACTGTAATTGGACAGAGGAGATACCCATCCACGTTTGGATCATAGGTGGCCATCATAAACTCTGAATAAATTGGATTATTAGCCATTTTGTAAAATGATAGATTAAGCTGTTGAGGGAATGTTGCAATAAATAATGTGGCAAAAAAGGAATACCCCAATTAAGATAAATATGTGTTTAAATTCCAAAAGGCAGCATGGGGCAGTGGTCTGTTACTCTCAAGAAGACATTCCCACAAATTGAATGGCATTGAAAGGTAAGCATGTTGCTGTAATTTTTTTCTATGTACTGCAGGGATATTAACATCTTCCAATCATTCCTTGAGCTTCAGACTGCTTTTTTTTGCAGCTGCATATAGTAGTCTTGGAGGATCTAAACTGTCGTATCAGGAAAGGACAAGGACCAACAGCACTCATCATCAACTTGGTTATACACAGCCAAATGCTTTTGCAATGCATATAGTTCTAAAATGGAGAGAAGAACAAGAAACAATCTTTTGAACTGTATATACGATCTTAACATTCCTTGACCATCTGATATCTGTATGCATAATTTTATAAAGGGTTTGCAGCACCAAAGGCTACATCTCCCTACAGAGTTCATTGCTTTATTTCCCTGCTTTCTTCCCTTGAATCACTTTAATGAATGGATCCCACCATTAAAGGTAGCCTAGAAATAATTTTGGCTAGAGCTAGGTGCAAACTTTATTGATCTAAGTTGCTGATAATTAACTTCTCTACAAAGCATTATTAGGTCAATGGTTTTTTAATATTGCTTCCTGCTCCTATTTATGCATTCATTTATATGTTTCAGATGATATGATCAAGCCTGACATACTCATTCTCTTTTAATTTTCTTCTTTATCTAGGGCTAATTCTGTTACCTGGAATCCTCACAAATTGATGGGTGTTCCACTGCAGTGCTCAGCTTTCTTAATCCGAGAGAAGGTAACTTCCTTTCCCTTGCCAGACCGAAACATTTCATGGCAGCAACAGGATTCCTACCATAACACGTTCTGACTACTATCACCTAGGGAAAGATCAGTGGGATAATTTTCACACAAGAATAATTAGGTCTCCCATCTTTCTCATATAAGGCCTATTAAACCTGGATTTGGCTTGCAATGCTTTTTTTGCACTGAAGACCAAAAGAAATTGATTTGTGATTTTTTAAAAAATTGCCATTTTCTTAAGTTTAATTTCTTTGTAAGTGGGATTCTCAGGTATATTCATGCCTACCATGCTGAATGCAGGGCACTAGCCATGAATTGTAGCCAGGCAGGTGTTTGCCATCTATGTGATTGCTTTGTGGAACCACAAAACAGGGTTGATCAAGTACCTAGCAGGCCATAATGCATGGGCAGTGAATAGCATTCACAGTCAGTAAATCACAAGTTGTTCCAGGACTGTCCTAGGTGATTTCTGGGACAGAAAAGGATTGCTCTGTGTATGGTATATTACTTGTATTGCTCATTTTTGTGGCTGCTCAGGAAAACTTGAACAGTAAATATTAGTAAAGCTCTTACCAGTTAAAAAAAGTAAGTTCAGTGTTGTGGAGATGTTGGACTAACTTTTAGGGGATTGGGGTTCTACTCCCATTTGGCCATGAAGCTCACGGGGTGACTTGGGCCAGTCACTCCCTTTCATCCTAGCCACACTCACAAGTCTGCTGTGAGGATAAAGTAGATAGAATCATATGGGTTTCTTCCACAAAGAAAAAAAAAATGATTAGCTAGCAATGTAATGATAAATAATACATTTATTACCAAAGGCTTCTCCAAACATTTCCAGATCTCAGGTAGCATTCTGCTCTGATCCCAGTAACCACCACTAGGCACACACCCTAGACTGGTCACCAGGAAACAATGCACCGGATGACAGCTGTGAAGGGCCATTGACTGGCAAAGTGTATTTCCAAAGGCAGCACCTACTGACAGTTCTGTCCCTCTGCTAGGGTCTTCTCCAGGCCTGTAACCAGCTTTGTGCTGAGTATCTCTTCCAGCCTGACAAACAGTATGACACCATTTATGACACCGGGGACAAGGCAATCCAGTGTGGTCGGCATGTTGATGTCTTCAAACTATGGCTGATGTGGAGAGCTAAGGTAGGAAGCATCTTACAATGGAGAATTCTCTGCTGGATAAATTCTCTGAGATACACGGCAGCCCCGGCTCGCTTGGCTCTAATTCCAGGCATGAAAATAAAATGATGGTGATGAAGTCACGTGGGTTGAGATGAGGGCAGAGAAGGGGGAGCAAAGGAGAGAAACTGCCTTGAAGTAAGGTTGCTGTCCTCTTGCCCAAAGCAAGCCCATAGAAATCCTTCCACAGTGACTCACCTGCCAAGGAACCTCAGCGCTTCTCACGCAGAACCATAGAAGTTTCTGGGGGATGTTCCAAAGAGCGCATTTGGTTCAGGGCATTGGACTGTTACTTCATACAAAGCAATCATACATTGCTTCATTGCTTTGAATGAAGTGAGAAAGCGACCCACAGCATGCCAAATACTGTCATCGATGGAGAACATGCTGTTTTGCTTTGTCATTATTGATCTTTCAGCCGAGGAAGCCCTTGTAAGTGTCTGAGCAGGAAGCCCTGGCTTTCCCAAGATGCAGCTTATAAATCACTAGTCTAGCAGATAGGATAGCATTTAAAATAGGGAGATACCTGCCTTGCCATGAAGATGCTTAAGTGATCACAGGGAAGTCATTCATTTTAGTCTAATTTTCTCCATGAGGTTGCTGTGATAGTTAAATATACACTTCTGAGTTATTTGGTGGAGACAGACAGACAGATGTAATTTCCTTACATGATGTGGTGTCAGGAAATCATCCACCTTCCAATGGATGTTATCAGGATGCGAAAAGGGAAAAAAAGATAAACACAGGTATGGTCATTGCAAAGGTACAAAGCACACGCATCCTCATACATGAGTGTTGGTTTTTCTTTGCAAAAATAGAATGTGCAACGCAGTTGACATTAAGGGCCATTTATATTTCAATTTAAAATAGAGTTCAACCACAGTGTACACCTTATTGACATTGATCTTTTGGAAGAATACAATGCAATATTAAGTATAAAATAAAATGAAATGTCTTAAGATTATATTCAGTAGTCTACATACAGTATTATTCCAGATAGTTCATTCCAAGACTGCCTTGGCCCTTTTTTTATTGCCAAAGAAGAACTGCCACAGACTGCCATTTCCTTGAGTTCAAGCACTTTTCCTTCTTGGCTTGACCCACATTGTGCGACTTGGTTCAGTTCCTCGGACTTTTCTTGACTGGTTTATTCCGCAGGCCCAAGCAATGCAGCTGCTCTCTTCATATAACCTGTGTAGGCCTATCTTAGAATGGTCAGGAGGCTGCATTGGATAGATTTCCCCTCCCTTAATAGTATGATAAAGCACCTTAAGCATCCTGAGACCATGCTCAGTCTCTCTCTTTCTCTTCCTTACCCCTGATATCATACAGGGCACAAGAGGATTTGAAATGGTTATCAATGAATTTCTAGAACTCACAGAATACCTTTATAAGGAACTGAAGGCAAGAGAAGGCTTTGAACTTGTATTTGATGCTGAGGTAAGCACTGAACAAGGACTGAACTAGGCTTCAGGTGCTACAGCACTCCTGTTTTCCAACTGAAATGCAGGATAACTTGGAAAACTCAGATAGTTAGTAGTCACAGTAGGTAGCAGCACCTTTGTCAAGGTGCAGGTTTATCTATTCTATTCTATTCTGTTCTGTTCTGTTCTGTTCTGTTCTGTTCTATTCATGCTCCTGCAGGAAAGATGGACACGATCTTGGCCATTCTCCGCCCCCGCCAACCAGCACGATCGCAGCCAACTCCCCACTCCTCAAATGGGGAGATGTTCGCAATCGTGCTGGGGGCAGTGGGGGGGACATGAATGAGATCACGCCGGTCTCTCCGTCCCCCAGCACGCTGCGTGCAGGGATGAGAGGCACAGTCTCGGTCATGCTGCGGGGGGCGGGGAGATGGCCGTGCTTGTGCCTGGGGTGGGGAGGGGGAGACGGCCATGATCTTTCTTGCTCTTTGTCACTTTGATTCACATTTTTCTGATTAAAATAAATGGTTACAGAACGGATCAGCCTTATTTACATTGAACCTTATGGGAAAATTTAACTGGGCTCACGACCAATTTGGGTCATGACCAGAGTCCTGGAACAGATTAAGTTTGTGAGCCAAGGTACCATTGTAGTTGAATCGATCATATACAGGTGTGAGGGGCTGCAGCATTCATCAGCCAGGAAGTCAGTGTTTAGCACTCTGCATGTCCATACATCCTTTCCTGAGATTAACAGATACCGATTAAACTGAACAAAATGACCAATTCAGGGTGCAATGCTATGCGGCTGCCCGTAGCATTCTGACTGGGAAGGTTATGGGCATCCAATCATGCGTGGAAGAAGCACAGAAGCAGGGACTGGCCCCACATTTCCCTCACCCTCAAAAGCATCCAGTCAGCTCATTTGAGCTGTCTAGGGTTTTTTCCTTCTTTGTAAGGAGTTAGAGCTGGGACACACCCTGGATTTAGAGGACAGTGGCAATGCCTCATTCCTTCCCTCCCTCTGCAATTCTCCCCACTGCATCCCCCATACCAGGGCCTCAGCTGTCATGGAAAGACCTGCGCCAACTGAGAAGGCAGAGAGGGACCCTTCATAAGGCAGAGTTCTCACTGCAACCTCTAGAAGGCTTTTCCTGTGGCCAGTCAGATAGCATCTATCAGCCACAAAGCTGGGCCCTTGGATCCACTTCTGTCTTATTTTAAGGATTTTCTTGGGTAACCAATTTTAGCTTCAGCTTGTATGGAATTTTGACTTTCAATTATTTTTCAGCTTTTTCTGCAATGAGCTGCATATAGATGCATACTTATCCAGTGTGTAACAGCCTCCTTCTGGTTTATATCTTAAAATTATAATCAAAGTGGATAACTTAAACTCAGAACCTTGCAACATTTTCCTTCCATAACAAAGGTATTATGGTGATAAAGATTTTGGAAATTTTATTATGGAACAAGTAACATGTTTCATAAGGCATGAAGGAGCAATCCTTAGTTCTTACTATACCACACACACACAAAAAATACATTCAGGTTTTCTGGAAAGAATCAAGATAAATAAAAAGTAGCGGAAGAGTTCAGAATAAGTTGGCTTGCTCTTGTTTATAGACTATTCCCATGCAGTGAGAACACAAATTGCACTCAGACCTATTATGCTGAAATCCAAATTCCTCCTGAATTGTGGAAAGTCTGGCCTCTGGAAAAGAGCCAAGTTTACAAAGTGAAGATAAATCATTTAGATGTGCCGAAGAGCTGAGAGCGATGATTATAACTGGGAAACATTAGACCCACGCTTTCACTGCAAATCATTTATTAATAACTATCTCATAAAATCCTTCGATAACATAAATTTGTCAATAATATAGACCTGCCAACTTGTCAGCATTCTTGGTAGAATGTCAAATATTAAGAATTCAAACTCAAATAGAAATATTATGGTGCTGCAGCAATCATGAATTAAGTTTGTAGCAGACTCAGTTGAAAAAAGAGCTTGGGCCAGATTTATGGGAGGAGTTTTGACTTCCCCAGGAAATCATGGAGGTGCACTTCTAGAGGAAGTAGCTTGGCCTTGAAGCCATTTTGTAATATTCAAGGGGAAGGAAGTACTTACAATCTGGACGCTGGTGGTGGGAGTACTTTTGCCCTTCTTAATACCCAACTGGCATGAAATTATGGGTTTAGTGCAGGAGTACAGAACTCCAGACCTGGGGCCCAATTCAGCCCTCCATGAACCCCCAGAAGACCAAGCCTCTTCCTTTTCCCAGCTACCAGTTATTTGGTGGTTTTCTGGTTTTTGAATGTTTCCCTCCCATTCTAAAAGGCTGAAACACCTTTCCTTTAGCTGTGTTCTTAACAGTAAGAGATTGGGGGGGGGATTGTATTTTGGTTCCACCCACTTTGTCTTTGGCCCCACCCACTATTCAAATATGGTCCTGAGAGCTTCTCTGAAGTGGAGGCTGGTCCTCAGACTCAGAGGGGTTCTGTACCCCTGGTGTTGCATCACAGATGAAGGCATGCTGAGAAAAGTGACTGGAGCTCTGAAATGGCCTTTCACACTGGGCACTAAATGGGAAATGAGAGCTCTTACCAACACTGCGAAGATGGTAAGTCCCTCTGAGGAAGTTTTTTCACTTCCATTCAGTCCACAGGTATACAAAAAAAAAGTATGGATTGTGCTGGAAAAGTTTTTAAAATATTTTATTTTGTTACTCAGAATGGCAATCTCTGTTTCATGTTTCAAATTTTCTCTGCAAAACCAGACACATTATTCAAAATTTACCCAGGTAAGATGTAGGAATATTGATGTTTAGCACATGTGCATTGAATAAAGGGAAACATGCTGCAGACATATGCAGATTTTAAGGATTATATTTTATAATGTATTTTTATTTCAAAGCCTGAACTCACCAACGTCTGTTTCTGGTACATCCCACCAAGTCTTCAACACTTCCCAAATGGGCCAGAGAGAAGAAAGAGACTTCATCAGGTAAACAGTCTCACACAAATCTTCCATCAGTCAGGATGGAATATGCAAGCTCCTGGGCTATGCACAGCAAGTAATATTTGAAGTGGAAGATCTATTCTACCCCCCACCCCTTTTTTTCAATTATATGTTAGAGAAAGGGAGGGACAAGGTTGTCTGTTTCTTGTCTAAGTCTTTTTCATGTATTTTCCTTAATTCTTTTTCTGCATTCAGTTGTGTCTTTTGTAAGTTTTTAAATCCTCTTAAAATCGTTAAATATATATTTTAATACCCAATTCAGATACACAATATTCTTAAAATGCATAATGCATGCATGCTTACTTACCTCAAAATGCATAATGGAACATGTATTTGAGGCTTAAGCTGTCAAGAATGGCATCACAACCTTCAGAGAAGTGTGGAATCCAGTATAACCAGTACATTAGTTTGAGAGTTGTGGATCAGATAATTTTGTATAGGAAACTGAACAGTTAAAATTCTTGATGCATCTTTTATCAGAGCAATGGCATTTGCAAATGCTTCCAGACAGTTTCTCTAGTTTTGCATTCTTTACTCTTCTATGAACATGTCTGGAGAGAAATTTCTCCAATTCACTGCTTGCACCAGCCCTGATTTTGGAGAAAAGCTCAGTATTGTATCCTGGATTGTACAGATCAGGTTTCCCCAACCATGAGTTCCCCAGAAGTGTTACACTGGAGATGCCAGAACCCTGGCCACCATGGTAGTGCTGGATATCTATATCAGTAGGCTAACACATCTGCAGGGTCTGGCTAAGTGGAGCTGGTGCAGATAGTCTAATCTAAGATGGACTTCCCATGTTAGGTAGAAGAGCTGGATGAGAAAGTGAGTGAATTACACAGTCTCTTTCCAAGTTTCTAAGATAAGGTGTGAACTGGAGAATAGTGTATCTCCAATGTGGATAAAATGTGCAGCTTGTTCTGCATATTTGCTGATGGGAGAGATGTACAGTTTTCCACTTTTGACAAGGTAGAATGAAAAAGCAATTGACTTACAAATCCTTGCTTTTGGCACCTACATAATGAACAAATGTGTTTGATCCCTGAATAATGAGCCTAGGAAGGACAAGCCTCTCAGTAGCTGCCTGGGTTGGGACCAGGAAATTTTCCCGTGTTGTGCAGCTACCATCAAGTGGCAGATTTGTATAATAATGATCCTATTACATCTTGGGTCATTTCAATCAAAGGTTTTGGATCATGTGGTTGAAGCTTTGGCTACAATTTTTGCAATGATATAATCAAAGTTGGCCAGATAGCCTTAAAGGGCCATACACTATTGAAGAATATCACAGTCCCATCATGAAACACTTCAATTTTCAAAGTAGCATGATGGCAGTCTGTTACTTTGTGTCCCCCAACTCCAGTGTGGCCCCTCTTCTCTCTTTTTCTAAAGTACACATAAAGAACTCTATCATACCTCTATCAATGAACTGTTGCTGCTCTCTCACTCACTTGTGAAATGATACACCATAAAGTAACCGTAACTTTTATTCTTTTTAATATGTCCAGGTTGCTCCAAAAATAAAAGCAAGGATGATAGAAGAAGGCACTACAATGGTTAGCTATCAACCTCATGGGGATCATGTGAATTTTTTCAGAATGGTCTTCTCTAACCCAGCAACCAAGAAATCAGATGTCAATTTCCTCTTGGAAGAAATAGAAAGGCTTGGGAAGGATTTGTGATGGCTGGCACTAAATCTTGGGAAAAGGACCAATATTGCATTGGTATAGTAGATTCCGAATAGCCATTCATTGTTATTTCTTCCACATTGTGTCGTACTGAACCTTTCTCTCCCTTTCCCCCTTAACAATTCATGTTGAATTGTGGGTGAAACAAAAAGAGTTGCAAAGAAGGAGAGAATGTAGATTAAATTTCACACTGGGGGCATGAAGGCTTGTGCTTACTTGAATAAGGAAATGGGACCAAGTGGTCTTTCACCTTCTCCTTACTTTCAAAAATCCCCCTGTGCCTGGGGTGCCAGCAGTGGGGGTTTCTTCTCATAGAGGCTGGCACTCTGGAATGCCCATGTAACCCTGCAACACTGGGTGGTCCCATGGGCATTTGAGGACGTGCTGCCAAGCTGCGGATTGTGCGAAAGAGTCCTGCACAGAGTAGGGTTCAGAGTAGCACCAAGTCCACAGAACCTGGGTATGGTAGTACTGTTTAGAATAGGAAGGGATTTACAGGTGGTTGTTGTGATGATGTAACTGTTCCTGTGTAACTTTCTTCAATCATACAGTCTGTTAATGTATCATGTAACCCATGCTTTGCTTGGTCACCTGTGACCAGGCAAGGGAACTTTATGTGGTTGTTGTCTGTGTGTATTACTCTTTGGGGCCAAATATAAGTAACACAGTTAAAGGCATCCAGATGGACTAATATAAAGGGATGTGTAAAACCTGTTCCTTTACGTTCATGGAATGTTGCACTTTATCTTGAACAACTCTCACATAGGGAACATCTACAGGGTGTCTTGGGTATTCTTGCCTTGCTGAACAAGGTCACAGAGGTGTCAAAGAAGCAGTTTCACAAGCCAAGGCCCTTTCCAGTGGCATCTGAAGTGGGCAAATTCACATACAGTATTGCTGATGGCACCATAATTTCTATATCAGTTTGCGTCTTTCTTAGATGTGCAAACACATACATAATGTGTGAAAGGGAGAGGAACAATACGGGATCTGCAAACATAGGTAAATAGACTGCCCTTTAAAATGCCAACCATAGCATCAAAGAAACAAAAACACAAGTTTTTCCTTGTTGCACATCCAGCTTTACTCTCTTATCCAATTTTAGTTGCATGTGAATAGGCTTTAGTTGTGAAGGGAAATGTGGACAGGGTTGCTTTGAAGCAACTGTTCAATGCACAGATTGCCCATAGCTAAGAAGCCATGGTTGTTTGCCCAAAACAATATTTGTTTCCAATCAAATGCAAGATTTGTTGTTAACTGCTTTTGTTGAGCAGTTAATCATAACTTCATTGTTCCCTTCTTCTGAGCATACCAAATCATTAAATCCATGAAATTCTACACCCAGTATTCTAGGAGGAATTAAACTAAGGTGGACTTACTCTTAGGCAGTCTGTCTGTCTGTCTCTCTCTCTCTCTCCCTCCCTCTCCCCCTGCCCCCCTCGTCTATACTACCTAAGAGTTGGAACTGTATGAGCAGTATACAATTCATTGTATAGAATTCCACTATATGGTCATTAATTTAGTCTCATAGGACTGATTCATGTAGGGCAAAATCCTGCACTTGTTGAGAAAGAAAAAAGCCAATTCTGGGCTGTGGAACGATAAGATTTTCATGCCTTTTTTCTTTTTCAATATGCATAGGATTGTGTACTTAACCATAATTCTTAATTTGGGATGTTGTTTGTTATACAGGCTGAGATCCATGTATGATTTTGTTACAATGAACAGTCGATATACAAGAAGATGAAATGTTCATTGCCTTTGGCTTGGGCCAAATTGACCAGTGCATACAATATACAATGCCAGCATTAAATGAAATAAGCTATATGAACAATTGAAAATGCATCCATTTCTTCTTCCCATAAGAGTTGCATGAATTATACATTTTTAATATTTTAACATTTGAGGAAGACTTTGTGTATTTATTAGAACATGACCTTTGCACCACCTTGATACTGGATACTGCAACATGGGCCTGGGCAGCAAGCACAGAATCATAAATCAAGTTCAGATTATTAGCTCATGTAAAGCAGGGAACCCTGACTAATTACATTATCGTTGTTTAAATAGAGATGCTAATAAATCAACAAGTTCACAAATACTCTTCTGACCGTGTAAAGTATTCTTCATTCCTAGATATTCCATGTGAAACATGCCTTGTCCAATAGAGAAGGGGCTGCTCTGATGGTCATCTGTGTACGTTCCCTCTTGATTTGGTGTGTAGAGCTGTCCATTTTTGATTCCAAAAAATGCTCCAAATCCTCCGGGAATTTGGCACCTGGGACCAGAGCCAAGGCAGAATCTGGAGACTGGGGGAACCTGTCCATGCCAGGGTGAGCCAAATGGTCATTTCCTACAGGTACTATTAACATCCTTTAGAAATCTCAGCCTAACAGATCTCCATGTTTCATCTAGTATGACCCCAAGAATGGAAGAGTTGCCACCAAGCACCACAGAAGAATTAAGGGTCCGACAAGGTTCATGGAAGATTCATTTGGTCACATTGCAGACTGGTCAAGGGTTGGCTCCTTCAGTGAGGTGATAATTAGTCTGTTATGGGATGGTGATTTGGTTCGCACAACATGATGAGCCTTGCGGGCTTATAAATCAGCAGTGTTGGGGACTCAAGTTGAGACACTCATTCTCATGCCCCATTCAAGTCACGTTAGCAACTCAGCTCGGATTCCACTCAGGAGTAATGAGTGAGTGACTTGGCTCAACATTTCTGCTGTTTTACATCCAAGTTGCTCCAGGGCTTACTGCCTGCATCCAACATGTGGCAGGATATCCTGGGGCAATCTTGGCAGAAGGCATCTGTGATGGGCTGGAAGGCAGGCACAAAGAAAGCAGAGGTGGTGCAATAGGGGGAAAGCCAGGCTTCAGCTCTTCTTTTTGGCAGGGGCTGGATGACAACTGCCACTCATGCATGCACCGCCACCACTTCCCTTCTTTCTGTTGAAGTTGGCTCTTGATACTTGGGAAGAGACGTGAGACTCGCCTTGAAACTTTCCTGCAATGACTTGAGACTCCACTTGGACTTTAAAGCAAAGACTTGAGACGTGACCTGAGACTTGGAGCAGAACACTTGAACACATCACTGTAAATCAGGGTGGCTCATGCTGTTTCTGAACCCAGCCAGAGTAATTAACAAACAACAAGGCACCCCTGGCCTAGAAGCTACCATGGCTGATTGCATTGTGTGAACCCTGTCAGTAGTTTTCCTGGTTTGTGTTGGGCTTCTCTGATCCTCCCTATCAGACACTGGGACAGGTCAGGCCTGTGAGAGCTTGCCTGTACAGCATAAGGGTATGAAATACAGCAGTTGCCAAAGCAGTAGCTGAGGCACCGAGGGGAGAATCTATATAGCATGTATGAGGCATAAAATAAATTGAGGATGAGTTTTTACTGTTTCTCTGAGGCTTCTTCCATTCTCATAGGTGATACACACTTCCCTTGGGCGGCTCTTTTATGGTCTTACGAAACTTCTCTGAACAATAATGACTTGCCCATATATTTTCACATCTGCGCTCTGCATGATAAAACATGTCAGTTCAAATTTTATTAATGCTTTTAATGATTATGGAAGCATTAACTCCCTATCCAGATCTCAAGGGGTGCGTATATTACTTTTTTCCAGTGTATATTGCAGCCTGTATTTAATTTGTCTAAGTTAGTATATACCATTTCTAATGTAGGGCTCATCACATTTTGTTAGAGCATCTCGCTCTTAGATGGTGAAGCTATAATTCTAAACACCCTTATGCAAGAGTAAGTCCAATTGATCTCAATGGGACTTACTTCTGACATGTTTAGGATTGCTCTGTTAAGAGTCCCTCAAAGATATAGTTTCACATAATTCAGCATGCATAGATATTTTAAAGGACTATGAACCTTTATACACACTAGAAATAGTTTTCCTCTAATAGTTTTCCTCTTTTTGTTAATGTGCTCATGCTGCAAGCTGTAAACTGACCATTAACAGTATAGCATCTTTTTTTAATCTGACACATTGCCTAGTTAATGAATCTCTGCGTTTTGGTGGGAAAAACAAGGGAGTAAAATGTGATTTACTGACGCGATACTAAAATTGTCCTCTGATGTGCAGTGCAGTGCTAAACATATCCCCTCAGTAGCCAGCACCAGCGAACTCAGTCCAGTAAAAGCCTTCTGTGGAAGTTCCACTGGGCCACTGTGTGTTCGGTGAACACGGACAAGGCAGAGCACATGCCTATGGACACACGCTTACGGACACACGCTTGTACAGACCTAGGCATTTCCCTCTGTGATCAAGGATCTAGGAGGTTTGGGGTGCATAGAGGGCAAAGACTGTTGCATTGCCCCTTATGCAGCATCCAGCCATTTAATAGAGATTCATTTATTGAAAAACTGAAAGCCTCACTTTGCAGAAAGTTCAAGGTAGCCAAGGGTGGCTAGTGCGGAGAAATGTATCTCTACACAGTTAGTTATAAACTACAATCAAGAACAATGAGGAACCTGAAACTTCCTTTCTTCCTTTCTTTAAAATGTCTTACACACCATCTGATTATTATAAATTCTCCAGACATAAAAAGCCAAACATAAATATACGTGTATTAAAGCCATATTATAGCCATAAATAGTTATTAGTGAAAGCAAACAGGAAAAGTCCACCAAGCAAAGTTAAATAAAATCTTGAGCAAGAGGCCTTCCTGGTGAGGGATATCAGGTATGCGGTAGGGCGAATCTCTCTGGGCAGGGAATTCCATGCTCTGAAAGGGGCCTTTTTCTCATTGAGCATGTGGAGCCATTAGGGACATTCCTAAGAGGGCTTTAGTTCCAAATAAATGTACACAGTATACCAGCCACGCACATTCCACCCCAAAGCATGAGTCCCACGGTACATTCCTAGTGTGTTTCAATGAGTGCACAAGGACTCATTTTCTTCCAAGTAACTATGGATAGGAGTGCTACTTCATTTCTTCATAGAGATGGGAGCTACACTCAGAGAATGAGTCTGTTATGCCAGAAGAGAAGAAATCAACTACAACATTATGGAGTTACATTTGTT